TAAGCCACCGGGACGCGAACCGCGGTCGACTACGTGGGAATCCAGCGACATAGCCATTTCGCTAACTGCTGGTTCCCTTTTTTTTTTTTTTAAAGAATGATTTTATTGAACTTTATTTATTTATTTATATTTTAATTTGACCAGAGAGGGACATGGTAAGAGAGGGAGGAGCGGAAAGTGAGAAAGCAAGTCTCCAGGTTCAGGACTCAAACCAAGGTCAGCCATGTGGGAGTCCATCGCCCTCAGTCACCGCGCCATCTACCGGCCCCGTGTCACATGATCTTTTCCACCCAAAAAAGACCTGTGTTGTTTTTGGCAACCTCATTGTACTTTGTGTACTCCCTGCAGTACAGGCTGGTTACTTCTCCAGATTCATTAAAGGCTGGTGTGAATTTCTTACCAGCTTTGCTTCGCATCACGTTGCTTTTCCCCTGTGTTTCTGAAAGAACACGTTTATCTTGCAGGACCTTGTTCAATGAACTGAGGATCGTCGTTGAGCATATAATAATGAAACCTGCCTGCCCACTGTTCGTGCGAAGACTGTGTCTGCAGAGCATCGCCTTTATAAGCAGACTGGCCCCGACGGTCGCGTAGTCGGACGCCTTGTCAAGCCGTGTATATAGCCTGAACGTCATTCGCGGCTGGTACTTCTGCTCGGGTTGAGAATTCCCGGTGTTAACACTGACCTCGATCCCATTACGTCATTTACATCCATGCATCTCAGTGGGAAAATAACCCGTTTTCCTGGCATGTTAAATCAAGCCTTTTAAAAAGTTTCTAAGAAAATTACACCTCTGTTGCTATTGGTTAAAGAGGTTTATTATCTAGTGGTAAATGTCCTAGGTTTTTTTTAGATGCTGTCCTGCATAAATCATGAAATACATTTATTTCTCTTGGGAAAAAAAATAGCATTAACATTTATTTCAACCTAACTAATAGCTTAAGTTTCTCTCTGGCACGAATTCATTATGGTAATACTAACATACCTGAATTCAGCATATTTTGAGACAGTATTCTTTTGCCATTCAGTAATTTTTATTGATGATTTGAACAGAAACACTTCCCACTCTATTTAATTTCAAATTGTTATTGGGTTGGTTTTGTGCTACTTTGTTAGGGCGGATTTATTTATTTTGTAAAATGAATTCTATATGTATTTTATGCTATGACTGTCTAAAGTCGTATTTCCATAGGTACTTCTTTGTCTTTGAATATTTAAAAAAGGACTCAGCCTTAAGCCTGGCAGCCCATTGGGTAAATATCTGGGGTCACCTAGTCCTCTTACTCAGAAAATGATAGTGACAGAGCTTTCCTTCCAGAGCCCCACTGAGCCCACTTCTCCAGTGAGAACCCCTCTTTTACAAACGTGGACACTTAGACTGTTAGTAGTGTTACAAATCGGGAATCACCTAGTTCCGATTCTGGACCGCCAGTTTTCAGCCAGTTTTCTGGTTGCTTAGGCTTGACTTTTCCTAGACAGTTGCCAGTTCAGATGCCTTTGGAAAAGAATATGACCGAAGATTGAGCACATGACTCTGTCCTGAAATAATAATGAGGAGTGTCCTGTAGCTGGCATGCTTACCCAGCAGCTCCGACTCACAGGTAGAAAGGTGTACAGGTCCAGGACTAACTGGGAGTGGGGCCGGGGAGGAGCTGGGGAGGGGGAGCATCCAGTCCCGTCATGCACAGATGAGTTGGGGGAGTCAGGTGTGTTATGTATGTCGCCATGATTGGGGTCGTATCATATGTTAAATCCTGTTCATTGAGTGCCCGTCGACCACTTTATACAATTCCTTCTGATCCTTCCTACTGTTGCATGATTGGACATGTCGAAGCATTGCACAGTTGTAGAACAGAGTAATGTAATGGTTTTGTTAACCAGTTTTCTTCTGTCTGCATGTAATTTGGATTTCTCAAATACATTCATTAGTAACTTATTAGTCACATCAGTTTTCTTTTTGTCCAACTTCCTGTTCTTACAGAGCAATGATATTTTTAGGCTAGAGTGCAAGAAAAATTCTACTTGATAGCTTGACGAGCTATTTTTGTATTTTTGTAATATTTATCCGCTGAACTGGAGAAGCAGTCTCATACAGTTGATTTTGTGTGTGTGTGTGTGTGTGTGTGTGTGTGTGTATGTTTGTGTATGTGTGTGTCCATCCTCATTGTCACTATATATGTAAACTAATGGTTTTAAAAAACTAAACTTTCTAGAGCAATAAAACAACTATAATGTTAAGTAAAACTGATTTCCAATGCTGTTTTAAAAAATCAAGTCTTGAATTATATCAAGGAATTTTGACAGACAAAAGCAAATTTATTTTTAAGTTACTAGGTTGTATTTTCTTCTACATTTTTTAAAATTTGAGATAGTCATAGATTTATGCAAGTTTAAAAAAAAAATATGGAGAGTTCCTGTCTCTCACTCAGCCTCTTAAATGAACATTTTAAACAACTATAAGACCTTTATCCAAAGTAAGAAATGAACTCTGGAATAATACGATTAACTGAATTATCAAACTGAATTAGATTTTATCAGTTTTCTCATTTTGACTTTTTAAAATGTGTTCTCAATTTTTGCCATGATTGTCTTTTAAAGATCTGTTCGTGTGTCTCTGTTTTGAGTTTTGGCTCTTTATTTCAGAAATTACCATTTGTTAAAAATATTTCCCTAAAGAAAATAATTCACATTGGCTTTAACAAACATAAGTTGAACATTAAAACGACGGTCATTTCAAACAGTCTGTGCTTTAAACCGAGGCTTTTTTTTAAATCATGTAGCAGAATTACAATATTTCTGACATGTTCATGTTCGAATAGAAGTTATCGATTTGTTCCTTAAGGGAAGGCTTAGTTTATAAATAAAAGACTCCGAAACTCATGAAAAAGTAAATTTTACAGTGTGACAAATAATAAATGTTTAGTTTGCATGAACTTATAGGTAGGAAATCTGCTATTTGAATGTATACAGCCGACTGATGTGACATCGGAGATTATAGTGTTACATGTGTACATGTAAATTCAAGTTAGGGAAATAAATAGCAATATCGAGTACATGTAGCAGGAAAAATGAACTTCTACTGCATAGCTGAGCTTATTTCTCCTTATATGTTTCAAAGAAGTGGATTGAACACCCAGAATCTCTTCATTCTTCAGGAGGTAGTGTATTATGATTGCTCTTCTAGCACTTTTAAATATTAAACCCTCTCAGTAGGTGGTAGCCTCATATAAAACCTACTTTATTCTAGCAGGGATTCTCTCTCTCGTATATATTTTATTCCTCATTAATTTAAACTCTATTTCACATTAGTCCAAAGAGAAATGTCTTAAATCGAACTAGTGTCTAAATTTTCTTGGAATAAAATTCACTTGCTCCCGGAAGAAAGCAAGAAGGAAAGTGAATTTTAAAAATAAAGTCAATCGGATATTTAAGAATATCTCTTAAGAGAAAAATCAAGGCAAGCTAATAAGAAACCAGAGTTCTGAAGGATTAGTGAGTTCTGTTATGTTACTAAGAATTGCGAAGTTGTTAATGCTTCCTTTCTTTCTAAATAATCAGGATAAAAATTCAGATTAGGGGTCAGTAGGTGGTATGGAGGTTAAAGTGCTGGATCCCACATGGCTAGTGGTGTGATTTGAGTCCCAGACCTACCATTTTGAAAATCGTGCTGGGCACATATGCATGTGTCCCCAAAATCCCAAGAGGAGACTATAAGAGAAGGGATTGCAGAGTGGCCATCCTCCCTCGGGGGTGATTTCTTAACTTTTCCTTTCTCTCTCTCTGGCAAGTGTACATACGTACACTATAGCAAAAACTAGAATAACTAAAAATAAATTTTAAGAATTCAGGTTACATTTATAAATTTAGGACACAAATGTTATTTATCCTGGTTAAAAAAATTAGTTTATGTATAATAATATAATTAGAACTAGTAGATAACAGTTTTTAGAAAGGTTTCAGAGCAAAATGAGTGAAATTACTTTTGAGGGATTAGGGTAAAGACTCTTAGGTAGAGGCAAGGAATTTATTTAGATTAATAATAGTATTATTTTTTTTGAGAGGTTTTTGCTATAGGGCACGTGTGCTCGCCAGAAAGACAGAAAGCTAGAAATCACCCCCCAGGGGTATGGCCACGCCCTAATCCCTTCTCCATTCTCCTCTCAGGATCTTGGGCATGCACGCACGCACGCACATGCCCAGCGTGAGTTTAAACCACCTGGTCCGAGACCTGAACCACGGTTGGCTACATGGGAGTCCAGTGACATAGCCATTACACCAACTGGTGGTCCCTAGACTAATATTAATACTCAAATGAGAATCCCAAGGAGTGAGTAGCTGCAGAGGTTCGTTTATAATCACTGACTGGCATTCTTTCCTCAGGGAGTCCCCCGTTTTCACTTGCTGTGCTGGAAGGTTAAGTGCCACTCAAATGCTGAGTCCTAAGACCAAGGATCTGCAGTCCATGACTTTCAAAGGTGAACTTCAATAGTGAACAGATACTTAGTAAGCATTTACTATGACTACATTGTTTTAAATGTTGATATGTTCAAAATACTGGTCATCAGGAAAGCCATGTCACGTCATTACACAGAGAAACAGCAAAATATGTCATGTCTTTCCCAACGACCTAATAGTCCTCTGTCAATTAATGCTTTATAGGAAAACAGAAAAGTGGGCTGCAGTTGGGATCATTTAGATCATGGTCTCTGGCTTTCGTTTTTGTTTTGTTTTCCATTCTGAAGTGCCTCCATCGCATGAGATTGGCCTTCGTCCTTCGGTTTCAGATGTCTACAGAAATGGCGCTTCAAGTGTCTTCACTTTAAAAGGGCCATTTTAACCTCTCTTAAAACTGAGATGTTTCACAGTGATATTAAAGTATATTGAAATATTTTGGATAGTAAATCAGGGATGGCTCCTCGATTAGAAAAATCACGTTGGAGTCATAGACGACCAGTCTAATATCTTATTGGCATTTTCTACAAGTAGGAAAATTCCGCATTGTAATATAATACAGCTTGACAGGTAGTATACCAAAGGCATTATTCATCCAGGAGTTATTTCCAGAGATTGTTTTCATGGGCAGCCCTCTGATGTGTAGATAGAAAGTTCTTGGGGGTGACATAAAGGATAAGAAAAGAGCTGTCAAGAGTGGCAGGGGCACTGACTGGGAGCTGGGAGAGTTAAACCCGTATCATTCACAGTAGGAAACCCGTAGATGGTGTCCAGAGAGTGGAGGGCTACCTGGTAGTAAGTTATTCTAGGCAACGCTTATGCTCTTAGGTGTTCAGGTGCGTGCTTAAAAGAACGTTTCCTGGGCGAGGGTTTCTCTTGTGTACAGTGCGTGTAAGCAGACAGACCTGCAGTGACTCTGAGTTGCTGTGATAAGAGATAACTAAGTACAGTATTTTTTTTTTAATATAAAACATTCAGTTTCTTAGAAAACAATAGGAAGAAATTCTAGGTGGATGTCTTTGCTGGAATGTAGCAGCTCATATTCTAGGAGAAAGAAGGGCTTGAGAATCATTTTACTTTTTCCTTCATGGCTTCCTGAAGCTACTTTTTTATATGTTCATTCCTTTGAACTAACCTTTTCTCTTGGTTCTTGACAGTTGAATTCCGAACGGTAACTCTTTTCCTTTGTAGCTTTAAGACAGAACAATTCCTTTGGACGTTCATTTTTGCCTCCATATATATTTGTAAGATGAGACCAAGTGGGCGAAGTCTTGGGCAGGTAACATCACAATGTATATATACTGGACCAAACGGAAAAGGGTCGCAAAGATTAGCAACGGAGTCAGAATAAACGGCTTGATTTATAAATGCATTACCTTCCGGTGCTCCGTATCATGGGATATATTGAACTCAAAACTTTGTATATGTAGTATGTCAGCATTTCTTAGTAACTTCTCTCGCATCCATTTTTAATATCTAATATTGTCGAGGTTGGGGAGTTCTCTTCAGACCAGTACTGCTCTGACTGTATAAGTTTATAAAATAAATGGAAAAATTCATCATTCCCCTGCATTCAAGACCAGAGCACATAAATGCTAATGTAGGACTCAGAGGGGAAGTGGAGTTCTCCTGCATATTTGAAAAAACGCGAAGTCCTTTCAAGTAAATCTAATCACCGTAATCATCAGCGCCCGCTGATGCTAAGGAAAAAGGACCTCGTTCACGCTTTCCTTTATGCAGTGGTTTATCGGTCCCTGTTGATTTCCAAATCGGATCACTGCAGTACATTACCCGTGCTGCTACCTGTGGGAGTAAGCCCTGGGATTCATATATGTTTTGTGTTCTGCTTAAATCAGCAAGGATGATAAATTCGATGGTGTGAAATTGGAAATATCAAGGGCTTGCTTCGGCGATGGAGCAAAATAACGTCTCCGCTGGTGATGTGCCGCGACCCTTTTCCACTTGATGTGCTTTGTATGTCTGATATTTATTTCGATACAAATTAAGTCGTTGTCCCTTCAGCTGTATTGTTCTATCGAAGGTTTTATTGATGTAAAATGAAATTGTGTAATAAAAACCTCTCTGGATTTAAGCAGATTTCAATCGGTATGTTGCCAGAGCACACTGACAGCACTCCGCTTTCCTTTGAGCCTAACTGCCTCATTGTTAGAACAAGGTGCATTTGGACACACTTCTGATGTCTCCAGCCCATGACAAATCATGGAAATGCTGATGTTGAGGTCTAATGTGAAGCTGGGGAAAATGTGGTCTAAGGAGAAGCTGGAGACGGGGACAGATAACACTGGCTGATCTCAGCTGTTGGCGTCTGTACTTTCTGTTGTCCAGGGAGAGTTTTTAGCCTCGCCGCTATGCCATGCGTAACCCTAAAATGACTCAACCTGCAGTATGTCCACAGTCATTGATCAACACAAGATAACACGGGAACATACTGCCCTTCTAGGTGTTTCCGGCCTGAAGATATCTTCTGGGACCACTTAGCAAAGGGACTAAGTAACGTCTGAGCAAGTCGAACAAATCTTTGTCCACTGAATATTATATTCCAAGAGACATGGGAATCAGTTGTATAAAGGCAATTCTGATAGGTGAATAAATACCAAATTAGGAACTGAGTTGTTACACAGGGTGGAAGTATTTGATCACCCAGGAAATAGAGTACAGTCATGTGTTGATTGAGGTGGGACTGTCAGACGTGTCAAGCGGTTCTGTCGCTGTGAGTGGCATGGAGCATGCTGACACAGACCTAGACGGTGTAGGTTCAAGTGCAGCCGGTGGGTCTCGGCGCAGCCTGCCCCGTGCATGACTGTCCTCGACACTTCAGACAGTTGTAGCACAACATACGTGTGTATTAAAACATACCTAAACAGAAGAGGTAGAGTGAAAAGGCATATGTACAGGGCACTTCCCATGAATGGGGCTGCAGGACAGGAGTTTATCTGGGCCAGGCACTGAGTGGTGAGTGAATGCGAAGGCCTAGACATTACTGGAGACACATTGGGCATTTAGGCCACACTATAATTTTGGGGGGGGGAAGAGGGTTT